GGGGGGGGGGGGAGTTTGAATAAGAGCAAAGACACAAGAAGATTCTTGGTGTTTGATTTTGCGCTGTTGCCCCTGCTGGCGGGGTAATCTGATGAGTCTCTGGGGTGCTCCCACCCAACAATCAATGATATTTGGGCTGGCCGACCTGTCTCTCTGTGTGTGTGCGTGTGTGTGTGTTTGGGTGCGGGTGGTAAATCCCAGCTCTCTGCAGATTGGGGGGTGGTTGGGCGGGTGAAAGGGTGGGGGTCTTCCTCTTTTTGGCGGATGTGTGTGTATGTGTGTGTGTGTGTTGGTGTTTTGGTGTGTCTCGTGGGCCGGCTGAGTAGAGGATGAAATAGAGAAGAAGAAAACAAAAAACTAAACTTGTAGATTAGCATCTCATCTGCTTTCTTCTTATCTTCTTCATCCGTTCGTTCTTTGTTTACCCTCCTCCTCCCCTTCCTCTCTTTTTCCTCTCTTTTCCCTATCCGTCCACCCCTCCACCCTGCTCGGGGCTGTTGATTCCGTCCGTCAATTTGTCCATCCAGCTTCAGCACCTCTGCAGAGTTTGAATTTGAAATGAGCGTCTGTGTTTTCTGCACCAATTCCACCATAAATCCACTCAGTTAGTCTTTTCATTTAAATGTGTTTATGTTAAACATTTAAAACGTATTTTCTCTCCCCGTCAATATCTTCCGCTTTGACAAAACCAATAATACAAATTACGCCATTACTGCTCAGTTTTCATGAACATGCAATTTGGAAACAGTCAATCTAGTGTCACACACACACACACACACACAGCGACAAGCCTTTCTTCTTTTTTTACCAAACCATGCACGGAGTAATTGTGAATATTGATTAGGGGCAGCAAATCAATGGAATGATTTTGGATCGGCTTAGCTGGAGCCTGCTCTTTGTATTCAGCCGGCTAGTTCAATTAGAATGGAGTGGAATAAATTTGCCTGAACTTTTCATACATTATTAATGGCCCTGCTCCGCCGTTTAAACTCCTCGCTTTTTCATTTTCAAAAACAAAGAAGAAGGGGGGGGTGGGGGGTGGGGGTGGGGGTGGGGGGATCATAATAATTACAGCAGGATTAACATTTAGGAATTAATTTAGATTTTGGGGGGGGGGGTTTCAGGGAAGTAAACGTCGTGGGCTGTGATGTGTCTCCGTGTCACTGAATGTATGTTTTTCCAATATATATATATTTAACAGCGATCAGCCTGCGGGGAGGCTGCAGCACACACTGCTGCATAAAAGAGGCACCATTTTTATATAATCAAACTAATTAGTTCTCTGCATGCGCGCCTCCCTCCCTCCTTCCCTCGGTGTAACCCATGTGTTGATTCCTCTGCTTGTGTTGCGGGGGGGTGGGGTATGGGGGTGGGGGGAGTGGTGGAGGGTGCGGGCTAATGGAGTGCACGGGGCTATTGTCACGCCACTGCAGCTCCCGGGGCCTGACATCCCTAACCCCGCTTCTTTCCTCCTTGTGTGTGCACACCCCTACACCCAACCCCCCCCCCCCCCCCTCACCCTTTCCACAGATCTCATGACGCCCAGGTCGGGCCGAGTGGGAGCGGCGCCCCCGGGGAAGCCAAATGTCGCCGCCAGATGACGACTCCCAGAAGACGGGGACAGAGCCGTCCAGGTGAGATGCTTGCCGTTTGGGGGGGGGGCAGGAGGGGGACGATTGGCCTGAGCCACACCCCCTTCTCCACCTTTTAGAGAATCAAGCTAACCTTAGCTTTTACACACCCTTCTTCTTTTCTTCTCTCTGTTTGTCCCCTTCACACACGCTGTCTGGCTCGGATCGCGAAAAAAAACAAAACGCCACCGTTGTCAATTTCTTTCCTTTTGCAGAGGAGCCATTGGTGGAACCTCGCCTCACGCCGCAGCCAGGCGTCTCCAATCGATGCCACTGCCACACTCTCTCTGTCTGTGTGTGTGTGTGTGTGTGTCTGTTTGCCACGGGGGGGCCTGAAGGGGAGCTGCTGATGGCGGCGCCGATGGCCATGGTGGCGGTGGCGGTGGTGATGATGATGATGATGCGATGGCGGCGGCGGCGCCGCTCACGCAGTTTCTGGCTTAGCTCCCCCCCGGTTTACTGAAAGACTCTCTTCGGTGACGGGTATTCTTGGGTGGATAATACGGATCACGTTGTTATTGCTTAAGAATACGCGTAGTCGAGGAGAGTCCTCTCTTCGGCCAACACCAGCAGCACTACTCCCATCCCCCACCCTACCCCACCCTCCACACCCACCCACCTCACCTCACCTCACCCCGACTGCCCACCGGCCCGCGGAGGACTGTCAGGACGAAGCCACACCCCCAAACTCTCCACCCTTCCAAAAACAGAAAAACAATCAAACACCTCTTCTTTGATCTGTACTGCATTGCAATGTTTTTTTTCTCTTCCCTGGGACGAGCCACGGCTCGAGTGTCCTCTCGTCTGTCCCACCGTGCGTCTTGTCAGTTTGTCTCCGTGGCGACGGTCAGCGTTTTGTTTTCTGTTTTATTTCTGCGTGTGCGTGTGTGTGTGTGTGTGTTGGACGTGTTGCTCCGATTGTTTTCGGTCTTGCGGAGAAGAACTGGCTCTCCGTCTGACAACTTGTGATGGTGTAACTCTCTCTGCATGAGCGGTGTCTGTTCCCAGAATGCTCGGCCAGCATGACCGCCTGCACACTAACAGACATGCATATTCACAGCAGGACGGGTCGGGCCTGATTATTGGTCCGTCAGTACTGGCGTGAACCCTTTAACAAGCAGCAACCTGAATATGTAGTGGGAGTCAACTTTGGCACACAAGTGTGTAAACCATTGACATCAAATTCCCTTTCGTGCTCTCATCGCCTCATTTAGAACAGCGTCTGTGGCTCCATTGAGTTTCTAAGCTCACCTAAACCTTGACCCCCTTTCCAACAAAGCTCCACTCTGTACAATACTAAACAGATATAATTAAGGAACATGCAACAAGTGAACGCAAAACTGAAATAAGAAAGTTATTTTGATTTTTTTTTTTCAGCATTAGGAAATCAAGCAGAACCCATCTTTAAGGCTAGACAGCCCAAACTCAAATTATTGTTTTTTCTGCACTGGTCATTTTTTTTATTTTGTTCTATTTTGTCTTCTTTCAGACTAGTGGAAAGAAAACATCCTAAATACACATTGAGGTGTTTATTTTACTAATTTGTCTGTTTGCGTCTGTAGACTTCTCCTAAATTCACCAAAAGTTACTGTTAGATAATGCATCATTTGCTCATTGAAACACATTCAATAAAATGTGTAATATACACAATAATTGTCTTAATGTCAGTGATCAACTGGTGAAGTTTCATCTATTATTTCATTTTGTATCTTATTCTCCTGTAGTCTTCTAAATGACGTTTTCTCTGAATGAGTTTGTTCTCAGACTCTGATCCAGAAATCTCCACTTCAGCAGCTCTTACATACATTTCATTCCTCTCTATACTCTGAAGCTTTCTACAGAGGAGTTTGTTCACATATCATTCATTCATTAGACTGATTTATACATTTTATTAATAAAAACATGGAGAAAATAGATTTTGGTTATGGCTGTGAACAGTATTTAGTGATTTATGGAGTGATACAATGAGATATCCAAAATCCCCTCTATAAAAACCTTTGACTATAATATGTGAAGAAATGAAAAAAGAATAGTCAATCTGGCTTTATCCAAATGTATGCAAATTAGCACATATTACAAAAGATAAAGTATAATTTGCCTATTTAAACAAACTTTCAGAAAACTTGTAAAACAACAAATAATTGCCTTAATGTCAGTAATCAACTGAGGAAGTGTCATAATGATACTAGATACATTGTTAACCCTGTTCACCTTAAGGCCTTCATCATATCAGTTGATATTTTGCTTTAATGGTGCATGTTCTATATCAAATGTTCTATTTATCACAAACCAGTTCAAGCCAAGAGCTGCCGGGGCCCGGGGCCCAGTTGTGGTTCACCAGTGCTGTTCCTCTGTGAACGTGGTTCAGAATGACTCAGACTCCTTGGGACTTCTAAATGGTAGCTCTCTCAGAACAGAGCAGCATGATGACTAATTCCATTTCTTTTATTTGGATTAATCTCTTCAATTACCTTCTTTCTATGATAATTAATTGAATCGTTCAATCAAAACAGGCTGTCACAATTTCCCAGAGGCCTCGGAGACGTCCTCAGATTTCATCTGAGTAACAGTCTTAAACTCCAGTAATAATTAGTTCCCAATGATATACAATAAGGCTACAACTTACTCTTCCCTTATTATCCAATTATCATAGTTCTCAGTTGATCCAGTAGTCGATTAGTGGAGAAAATGTTACATAATAGTGAGTATAGTAATAACAGATATTAGTTATATTTAGTTTAAAGTCAATTCAACTAATCCTCACAAACTAGGATGTTTGCTGGATGAATGACCAAAATGAGTAATTCATTGTTACTTGTCAATTTTATTTTCTGAATCAATAAATCGATAGTTTTATTTCTAATCAGTTGCCTTTTTATCTTCAGGCCTGTGAGCTAAACAAGATGCCAATTCCATTTTGTTTTCTTCTTTTAGTGGAAAGAAATCATTTATTTTACCAATTTGTCTGTTTCTGTCTGTAGGTTTCTCCTAAATTCACCAAAAGTTACCAGTAGATAATGCATCAATTGACTATTCAAACATAGCATTTAATTAAACTTGCAATAAACTAAATAATTATGTTAATGTCAGAAATCGACTGGTGAAGTTTCATGTTTATATCTATTAGTTATTTTTTTTCACCTGTATTTATTTAATCTTTTTTTTTGTGTTTATGAAAGTAATCATCTGGAGAAGGGTCGCGGTGATATCTAGTTAAAAAGTGAACCCTCTTCACCTCTGGGGTGTCTCCCCTTAAACATCAGATCATGAGTTTAGTTTCATTGGATAGTGGAGGAGCTGTCTCAGAGCTGTGCAGGCTTTGCCATGATGAAAATACCTACCACCGATTTAAATTTTTTAAATTTTGCTCAATTTACGACAAGATCTAAGAATTAACAAAATATTGCGTTAGCCGTTGGTGTCCATAGATATCAGCGTGGCCGTGATCAGTGTGAGCAGGCCTGTGATGTTTGATGAGGAGTCAGCAGACAGTGTGATGCTGCATTTCCTCTGGCTTTGGTTACAGAGTGGAACCTCCTCTTATTCAAGCGGAGCCGAGAGGCGTTACCCTCCCCCCCCCCCCTTAACGCTTCCTTTTTCATGCAAAATGCTTCCTCAAATGACGTTTATCGCAGTGAGATTTAAGCCACGTGCAACGCCGCTGCTGCCGCTGAGCCCCACACACACACACACACACACGCCCACACTTATCCACACACACCCGGCTGAGAAAACAAAATGTCCACCGTCAGCGGTCAACAGCTTGACTTATGCATCGAGGAGAGAGGCGTCTAGATAAACTATTCCTTCCCGGCTCAAATGGCCTTGAAGCAGCATTCATGGCACTGACGCACCATGAATATGGATCGCCTCTCCATGTCTGATTGCACATTCTGAACCCTAACACCCATGTAAAATCCATTTAAACACATAACAGGATCAGCTCTACTCGCGCGGCCATGTCGCTCCCCATTAGGGGCCGGGTGGCGTTCAGAGAATGAAGGTACCAGTGCCGATACCAACGGAGTTCTTTGTTTGACCCTTTCTCTTTTCTCTTTTTCATTGGATTCCCATCATGTTAATGGAAGCATGCAGTTGCGTAAAATGCCACCACTGCATTTATCTTAATCACACGCTACAGGCGTGAGGTAAAGCCATACTTTCCAACATGTTGGTGATATCTTGGCACGCTGAACTTCACCACACCACGGCCTGTATGGGTTGTAGCTGCTGTACTAAAGGGACAATAACAAGTTACATGTAATTGATTTTCATCAAATTGTATTTTTTTAAAGACATGGGCCCAGAAAGGATTGATTGCAGGTGTTGTTTGACTGGAGAAGTTTAAATTCTACTTGGCACTGGGTCACTTCAGTCAGTATCCACCACTGATACCCAGCTTTACTTCCCAGGATCATGTGCTGGAGATTCCCTCTTACCTACAGGCTCGTGGATATGAGGGAATCTCCAGCACACCTATCGATCCCATTGATGTATCAAACGAATCCATTTCAGCGCCTGTTCAATCGTCAGAATACAGAATTTTTCCGGTTGGGAGTTGATTTTAAAGTCAGCCAGAGTCACTCAGTAGTACTCGTGATTGCAATTACACACAAATCATTCCGGCCATTACCATTGAAGATCATTCAAATAACACAATTGCCTGTTTTGCACTTGGCTTAGCTGATAATTACTGTTCCCTTTTTTCTTCAGGAAGCAAACAAAGCAAAGTGCTAAAATGTGTGTAGGAGGAGAGCATTTGTGGAAATCACACACACACACACACACACACACACACACACACACACACACACACGGTTCCTCCCCTGCATTCGAGTGTTGATTGTTACAGATGGTGTGGCGTGGACGTCCCCTCGCTGTGTCTCTCTCTGTCTCTCTCTCTCTGGCTTGCGTGATCCAGACGTTGTGCATCATGCGAACGCTTTATACTCACCTCCTCTGATGCACTGCAAGCCTTTTAGATGACTCGTTAGTTGAAAGAAACAACTGGCTTCGTTTAACCTTTAAACTCTTGGGATTTAACACATTAAGATGCTTCCAAAACTCCAATGTCGTCACATTTATCGACTTACTGTATAACATCTGTTTTGGAATGCTTCTTTGATGCAGTGATAAGCACACACGTATGAAAGAGGCTTGTCAGTGGCAGTGACGTGGTATAAAGTGCTGTCTCGGTGTCATTCTCCGTGTGCCAGCCTGTATGTGGATCGCCTCTGCTTTGTTTCCAAACTGTTGTAAAAGAGCCGCCGTGCCGTCAAACACATTGTTGACAGACAGCATCCGACGGACAGTCTCTCTGATGACGAACACATCGAGTGTCTCGGCGTCTCAGCGCCGCTTATCTCTCCGCGTCTTTCTCTGCAGTCTAAGAGCTGTTGTGGTTGTTGTGGTGCACTAATGTAAGCTGCTCTCTACTAATGGCATGATGCTACTGATGATGATGATGAGGATGAGGATGCTGATTGTTTTCAACTAACCGGGGCCAAAGTGCTGCATGCATTTCAATCATTTCAACAACAGCAGTGATGAGAATGTCATTTCTCTGTAAGTGTGCCTTGTTTCTGTCAATAAAATGTGGCTGCAAATATGAATAAATCCCTCTTTTTCAAATTGAAATGTGAAATGAAGCTTTAATTAACGCGACAACATGGGGGGAAAGAGGCCTTCGCTCTCTCACTTGAGGCCTGTGTGAGATGTTTGTAACTTCAAGGAGAAACATGAGATGAGGTTCTGAATTAGAGGTTTTTTTACCTGGATTCGACGGTGGATTACGTTGTTTTTGTCTTCTTCAAACGGACAAAGAGACGGGCCTGTGGATATAAAATACGGAAACCCGGGACACGTCCTCGGGTCGGCTGTGGTCTCAACATTTTGCTGCACTTAAAAAAAAACCAAAACCTCCTGGATGTCACTCCAGAGGCCTTTCCAGCGACCGCACTGACAAACCTAAAGATTAAAAACTAAAAGCTATTTCCTCCCTGGCTCTGTTCTGGTGCAACTCCTGGTGGGAAGGCAGTTAGAAGAAGAAGAACCTCCCTTCTCCTCCAGCACAGATCCTCTGTCAGTCTCATTTTTTGATCTGAATCAAAATTATTTCACTTTCAAAACGATAGATTGACATCAATTACATCAATTTGTTTTTCATTATGTTTGCA